GTACTTCGACAATCTGCCTGCTCTGCTCTCCACTGTGTCTCTGGTGAATCCTCTCACCACCCCTGCACCTCTGGCCTGTACCCCAGTTCTGTATACACAAACAAATCTTTAAAAGAAAAAAAAGAAGACCCCAATTCTGTATGCATAAATAAATAAGTCTTTTTAAAAAACCAAAAGACCTGCACTAGATTTCTTTTACCTCAATCTTTGCCTTTTATGACCAAAAGCCATTCTCATTTACTTTTTATACTCAGACTGTGTCCAGATGGAGATTGGACATGCCAGACTAAAATCACACCTCTTTGTCCTCTTCAATCCATCTACAGCCTGACCAAGTTTCCATTTTGACATTAAGATGTGAATCACTGAGCTGTGAAAAGTGTTCCAATGCTAACCTTCTAGAAATATAAAAACAACTGACTCATTTAATATTTCAATGTTAAACACACTGCCATTATTACCCTACCTTCAATTGACTAACCTCAAGAATTCAAGAGAGAAGTACATAAAAAGACATTTACCCAAGTGATTTTCATGACAAACAAGTGACTCTTTCATCATGGTTAATAACCCCCTACTTGTGTCCAGGCTTTACAGTCTACAAAACAATTAAGCAATCATTATATCATCTACCAAGCATACACTCCTCACCTTTTTGGTAGATGTATCATCTCTGCCTTTCTTTGGGGGCACAGAGCATGGGCTAGGGTTGCTCCCAGGTTCCAGTTCTTTCCTGGGTTTGGCTTCCGGAGCAGCATCATTTTCTACAGAATCACTACTGCTTGACCTCTTTCTCTTCATGTGTGTTCCCAGGTCAGGGCTCTTAGCCTCTTCCTCAAACTCTACAATATGTGGATAAAGTTCATTCACCATGTGGAGAACCTGGCCAGGCTGCAGCGTCACCTCTTGGTCTTTCCCAATTATGACTGAGTCAATGCTGGTGGGATTGACCCCTACCTATGGAGTAATCAGAAAATAATAATAATAACACTAACACCATCAGTAAAACAGCCACTGCTGCATTAACCACTTATTGTGTACCAGACACCCTGCTTGGTATTCACCTGTATTATTCTGTTACCTACACATGACAGAGAAGTTTTTGCTGGCTGGCACAAATACTCCAAAGTCAACAGCATAAGAAAATCACCAAGTATAAAATGGAGATCCATATTATAGATAGACATACCTGTTTTACCTTGACATATCCCTTGTTACACTCTGCTTTCAAATGTACTGAAAGAGATTGAAAAAAAGTTAAATACAAATGCTACAAAGAACCAGGCACATGCTCCCATTCTCTCTATGACACGATGACACTTCATGCCAAATGGCAACTTGACAGGAACACTCTCAAAGATCTATGAGCAAATCACCTGTTATGGCTGGAGCTCCAAATCCCATCAACTCCCATGGGTGGTCCAAAGTTACAATCTCCCTTAATACTGCTAATACCCCCAGCAGAGAGCTTAAGTGAATCTTTATAAGTCCCCCCACTTCAGTCTTTGGCCTACTTGGGAATCACAGACATGGCAGGCAGGGAAGGAGACCCAATTCTCACAAGCTCTTGACTCAGGATTAAAGCATGTTTCCACTAATACCTAAAACTTTCAGAAGTCATGAACAGAGAAAAAGTTAAGAGAGACATTCCTGGGAAACAGAAGTTGAATTGGCCTTGAACGGAAGAATTGGAGAAAATGTTCTAGAAAGAATATTAGAGGGCTAAGGCAGTGTGAACATGTGTAGGACCACTGATAAACATTAATACTGGCATTCAAGAGACTCTCATAATAAATACAGGTAAGAAAAAAACATTGCTGGGTGAGTTAGGGAGCAAGGAAGAGACCACAGCTGTTCTCTAAGGAGGACAAGTTGACACATAGGCCTCTATACTTTCCGCTATAAGAGAGGGACAGAGAAAAGACGCAGTGTCTTAGAGCTTTGACTCTTCAAACAAGGCTTTTATTTTTTCCATTTAGATTAACTTCTGTCGGAAAAATCAAAACCAGCACTACAGAAACCTGCAGGCGGGAAGCCTACCTGCAATAAAGCAGGTCTTATTAAGAAAAATACCACCCTGGGTGTAAAGCAATGTGTAACCACCCCCATCACTTCTCAGACAAGGTTGCAGCCTGGAGACTCCAGAATTCAATGGTCTCACTGCCCATGGAGAAATCTCCCTGTGTAAAGCAGAATGCGGGAATCTGGGCCAAATCCTGTGTAACAGGATGGACTGTGACAATTCCCATCGCTGCACCCACCCTACCATGAATGTTACCACTTTCAGAGAGTGGAATCAGGCATGACTGGGGCCATAGTGTTGGCTTCAAAAGCTCTCAGTTCCTGAGTTTTATTTGAGGCAGACAAAAAAATGGTTTTTTCCATCAAGAAATGTACATCTTTGGTTATCACTATGTTAAAGAAGCAAACAGGGCAATCCCCACATTCCCATGACCAGTTACCTTGCTGGCGGGAACATTTCTTATCTGTGATCTTGGTCTCTGGACCACGCCCAACCACAACTACTTCCAGATGTGGCAGTTTGATTCGCAGGTGCCGGTTGTCCTGTCTCACCAACCAACACACCCGCATCATTACTCTGAAAGGCAAAACAGAAGAGAATTGCTGAAAAACGAGAAAAACTAGTGCCAAGTCCTCGAGGGCCACATGCCAGCAGCACCGCACGTGCCACTTACCAGCTGATCATCTTGAGGCAAGTGACTTCACCTCCCTCAATTTCCTCATTGTAAAATGTCATAATGACAGGACTCATGCAGCTATTGTGAGGATTAAATGAGATAATGTGGGTAAAATGTTGACTGTATACCTGAATCATACATGCTAAGCAATCAACTGTTTGCTATGATTATCGATGGATGTATTCTTCTGTGCTAGACATTAGGCTACCTGCTGAGGATCAAAGAATGACTGAATGGTGTCCCCTATCCTGGGGCATGTGGTGTGGCAGACGACTCAAATACTGATTGTTAGAATACATGTAACAAGCACTATAGGAATACAATAAATGTAATAAGCACTGAAGGGAGTAACCAAATGTGGCATTAGCCCAGGAAAGGAATGACTTATTCCTGTGGGGAGTATTAAAAATATGCTTCATGACATCCCTACAACCCAGCAATCCCACTCCTAGGTATCTACCCAAAAGACACAAAAACACTGATTGAAAAAGATACCTACACCCCCATGTTTATTGCTGCTTTATTTACAATTGGAAAAACATGGAAGCAGCCCAAATGCCCAAAAGTAGATGACTGGATTAGAAAGATGTGGTACATATATACAATGGAATATTACTCAACAACCAAAAAAGAGAAACACATGTCTTTTGCAGCAACTTGGATGGAGCTGGAAAAGATCATGCTTAGTGAGATAAGCCAGAAAGAGAAAGAAAAATACCGGATGGTTTCACTCATAGCAGGAGTATAATGGATCAGGTGAGAAAATAACAAAAATAATGAACAACCATATACCAGAGACATTTTGCATTTTGCGGGGGTTGAGTGGGGAATGGGATCAAAAACGAGGGGGTGGGAAGGGAAGTGCACGAGATTTTGGTGATAGCACATGGGTGACATGGTGATGGGAAACCCACAGGGATTACAATTGAGATGGAAAAAAAAATGTACAAAATGATGTAAAAATAAACTGTTAAATATATGCTTCATGAGGAAGGGGTATTTATGTTGGGTTTTAAAAGACAAGGAGTTGACTTGACAGAGAACTGAAAAGAGGATGTTCTTCAGTCACACACATCTTTATGTGCATGTGGTTTCCCTTCTTTAATTGTTAAAACAATACATTTTACTGCCCCATACCAAGGACTGTCATAACAAATATAGAAACCTGTAGTTTCTGAAGTATGAATATAGTACCCATGTGCAATATATACCCAGCACAGCAGTGGAGGTTCTGTGCTCCTTAGGGGGAAAAAAAAATTCATGGCCATGTAGCATATCAGTAGAAGACAAAGAAACAAGACATTTGGAAGAGAAGTAAGTCCTGAACATAGGCAGAATGAAAGGGTTAGAGAAAAGACAAAAGAAATGGTGAAAACTGTGTAGTGAGTACATCTGAAACAGCAATCAAGATTTCTAATTTGGAAGTTCCTATTATTCAAAATGAGAGATACACAGAAATAATGTGGGGATTAGTGGGGATGAAGAAGAGGCGATTTCAGATTTAAACAAGTAGATAGGGCCCTCCCTCATGGCACAAGGGTTAAAGTGCAGCACTATGAAGCTATCTGCAGTCACTGCAGCATGAGTTGGATCGCAGGCCAGGGAGCTGACCCACATGGCACAGCAGACCTCTCCTGTCTTGCCCACTTCTTCCCTCTGCAGTGTATTTCAGTAGACCCACCTGTTCTGCTCCCCATTCTCACTAGTGAATGCTCTCACCCTCTGCACCTCTGGCCTACACCCCAGCTCCTGTATGTATAAATAATCTTTTAAAAAAAATAAAAAGATGTATTCAGTAAAAATGGAAAGTATAAAGACTATCTTTTTTTTTTTTTAAAGATTTTATTTATTTGTGCATACAGAACTGGGGTACAGGCCAGAGGTGCAGGGGCAGTGAGAGGATTCACCAGAGACAGAGCAGGGAGCAGAATAGGCAGATGGACTTAAACACACTGTTGAGGGGAGCAGCGGGCTGGTCAGGAGAGGTCTGCTGCACCATGTGGTCACCTCTGGGGCAGACGGGGATCGAACTCATGAGGAAGTGGCTTTAGCTTCTTAGTGCTGTGCTTTAACCTGCTGCGCCACCAGGGAGGGCCCTAAAGAATATCTTTTGAGAAAAAGATTTGATCTCATTGAAACTTGCTATTTTGGGAATGGAATGATGTAAGAAAATGTGATTCTAAAAAGAACATGGAAGGATTATGAGAGCAGTATCTCAGAAAAAGAACTGTATTTGGTCAAGCTAGATAAGATCAAATGGCCCATTATTAAAAGTGTTTTTTTAATTAAGATTTAGCAGTAGTGTGTTTATGTAAAACCCAACTTTAATTTTCTTTCATCTGCCACTTTTCATCTGAAAGTGTCCTTAAACTAGATTGCAAATTGTTAAAGTAATCTAGAGACCTGGTGCTTCAAGGTCAATGGTAAGCTAGAAAGAAATGTAGCCCTGTCAGCACTGTCTTAAGCTTGTCAGAAAGTCAGATTTGCTCTTTAAAATATTTTACTGTACTTCTACATAATTGTTTCATAAGGGTCGAGTACTCATCCACGTGAAACCAAAATTCCAAAAGTCTTTAATTGATTGGAAAGAAATGTGGGCTGTCATGGAGGGATTCCTAATGCAGCCTGCAGCGCCATTCTCTCCCCTTGTGGAAAAAGAAGTACTGAGCATATTGGGCCATTTGAGAACTGGGCATGTTGAAACTTCACGGGAAGCACTGTCACATAAGAAGAAACATTAAAACTTTTAGCACGTGTTAATTATGAGTATTCATATTAATAGTATTCTAAAATTAAGTGAAATTTCTTGAAAGTCAGATATGCTCTGGTTGGTTCTGGTTATTTTAACATTTTTACATCAGAAAATTGAGCAAACTTCCTTGTCAGTTGTGTTGTAGTTGGATTTTAATTATAATCATTCAGAGCACTTTCGCAAATATTCTAGAAATAAAGGTTTATTATTGAATTCAGTGTAAGAAAACACAAAGGCTATGGGAAAAAATAGTATGAACTGCTAACAAGACAGCAAGATTTTTCACATGGGACCAAATGAACTTATGAAGTACTAATATAATTTTTTAAGATTTATTTATTTGTGCATACAGAGCTGAGGTACAGGCCAGAGGTACAGGAGCAGTGAGAGGATTCACCAGAGACAGAGTGGGGGACAGAAGAGGCCAAATGACAAAGTACACTGCTGATGGGAGCAGCAGGCGGGTCAGGAGAGATCTGCAGCGCCATGTGGGTCAGCTCCGGGGTGGGGATCAAACTCATGCTGAAGTGGCTTTAGCTTCTTAGTGTTGTGCTTTAACCTGCTGTGCCACCAGGGAGGGTCTGAAGTACTAATATCAATTTTAAGCATATTTTGTTTGAAATATTACTGGGTAGTTTGTGTTTGGCTTTTTCCTGATTTAACAAAACTTTTTCTTTTTTTGAGTTATGGCCTACAGCAATGGTAAACTGCATCTTTTTGAGTACAGAACTGAAGAATTTGCTTCCTCTCACCCCAACACTCCCAAAATGTGGAAAATTTTAGTGATTATTTCTATTTCTCTTGCAATGTGTTTATTTGCATAAATCCATTAAGACTCGTCTTTTTTCTCTATAATAAACTATTAGAAGCATGGTTGTACTACCATAGATTTGACAAATATGTCATGTTTGGGACTATCACTTTCAGGAATTCAGACTGATTTAAGTGCCCTCAAAGAAAAGACAGGCTGCAAGCCTGTTTTCAGTGTTATAGGCCTATAAGAAAAGAGTAGGAAAGGTCACTCCTTCGAAGTCCCAGAGTTCCCCAGAACATTTTGAGGATCTCAAGAGGAAAGGATGCAGATGCACAGACAGAGGCACAGTTCTAAGGTAAGAACTTGGCAAGGCCCTAAGTCCTGGGAGGTCAGCAAGGCTAATTTTAAAATTTACATTGATATATGGTTACAAATTTCACTTGCTGCACTTGTGAAAAAAACAAACAAACAAAAAACAGGCCAAGCTTATTGGGAAACAGATTTAATTTACAAACAAATTAATTTTACTGCAACTGTCTGGCAGACTTGGAGTAAAAGATAAAAATAATATTCAGTAACATTTTTTTAAGCCACCTTATTCTAGACATCTTAATCATTTTTTAAAAGAAATATCCCTTTATTGTTAAGATTTTCATTTTATTTATTTTTTAATAGAAGAACTGGGTTGTAGGCCAAAAAGTGTGTGTTGGAGGGGTGGGGAGGAGAGGAGCTTGAGAGGATTCACCTGAGACAGAGTGGGGAGCAGAACAGGCAGATACACTGCTGAGGGGAGCAGCGGGGTAAGACAGGAGATCTTGTGCCATGTGAATTAGCTCCCTGGCCCAGGATAGAACTCAGCCAGCCTTGCCTCCTCTTAACCATTTTTGAGGTTTTTACATTTTTAATCAGTGAACTGGATTGGATTCTGGGTTTTTCTAGTATGTGACTATTAACGCCCCAGGTTTTTTTTCCCCAATCTTTTTGACTTACATTGGTTGAAACCAGATCAGAAACTTAATCAATCCCAGATCTCTCAGGCTTGAAGTTAAGAATTCTAAAATCTGATCCCAAGAGGTTACTTAATTTACCTCCAACTACTTTTCATAAACTAGTCCTATTTACCCAATTTTTGGTAACTTCCAAAATCAAAAGATCTAATCTATAGATGAAAATCAAGCTTCCCCCACCAAGAGAAATTATTTTTTGACATCAGTAACTAACTGTTTTTATCTATATAAGTTAAGCTCGAAGTTATGGCTCACAGAGCAAAATCTGTCAGTCTATTCCCCAGGTTCAAATACTCATTTTGATCATTAATAAACTCTATCATTGAGACAGTCAACACTACTTGAGAAGCTGAAGCAGTTACTGCCTCTGAAACTAAGCTTATGTAATATCCTTGTCATTTCAGTCTGGCATTCCAACTTCTAAGAACAAAGCATTTTTGAACAAGGAGAGTGCATTAGGATGGATGTTCCTGAATCTTCAATATAATCCTCCAATAAAACTCCATAAACTACAAGCTCTATAAACAGGAGGTCAAGTCTGTTTTTACTAATCCATAAGTTACCAGCACTCAATACAATACTGGCACACAACAAAAATACAGTATATATTTATAAGTGAATGATCAGATGATAATCCTATCCAGATTCTTGTCCCATCCTTCTCTCTGCTCGCCTCTGACTTCCTTTAAATGGGGTGCTCTACTCTTCTCTTTGGGCAATCCCATACATTCTCTATGAATGAATCCTAATTCACTATTTTTCAGTTTCATACTTTCATTTCAGAGCTGTATGAATTGTCAGAAATTATGATTATTTCTTAAGGTAGCCACGTTACCTGATCAGCTACCCAAGGCCAGTGGTTTGACAAACTGGAATGGTGTTGCCCAATAAAACTTTCTGTAGCGGTTACTATAATACCTAGCACAGTCCTAGAAATTTATTGAGTCCTAATCAATCCCAGATCCCTCAAGCTTGAAGTTAAGAATGTTAAACTCTGATCGCAAGAGGTTACTTAATTTACCTCCCACTAATTTTCATAAACTATTCCTATTTACCCAATTTTTTTCTCTCCTCCCTCCCCCAGACACACACACGTGCATTCTCTCCTTGCTAGAAACACATTTTTCCTCGACTTTCAAGTTCCACCTCCTCCCTAAAGGCTGAGCTGTCTTCTTTTCTCTATATCCTGTTATATGGTTTTGTCAGTATACCTTCACAGTTCTCTGTAAACTAAATGTGGATGTAAATTCTACTCTCCAAATAAGATTATAATCTCTTTATGAATCAAGAAACACTATGTCAGATACTACCCAATCATCCAGGCAATTCAGAGGAAAGAAAGATCTCTGTAGGTCACTGTCCTAATCTAAGTCTGGTCTTATACTTTTGTATTTGCTAGACACTTGCTAAATGTCTTAGTTAAATCATTTCATTTAAAGGCCCTCCCTGCTGGCGCAGCGGGTTCAAGCACTGCACTAAGAAGCTTAAGCCACTTCCACATGAGTTCAATCCCCGCCTGCCCCGGAGGAGATCCACATGGCGTGGCAGACCTCTTGTGACCCGCCCGCTGCTCCCCTCAGCAGTGTACTTCATCGATCTGCCTGTTATGCTCCCCACTCTGTCCCTGGTGAATCCTCTCACCCTCCACATCTCTGGCCTGTACCCCAGTTCTGTATGAATAAATTTTAAAAAATCATTTCATTTAATCACTGCAAGTCACATTCTAAAGAGAAAATTTAAGGCTTACAGAAAGTAAGGATCATGTTCAAGTTACATAACCAATGTGAGAAGCAAATGTATACCAGTTAAAATTTAAATTAATTCCAAAGAATGGGTTCTTCATTACTGCATCAGTTGATTATTCAAAGAAAATTTTTCATGTTTACTATGTACCCTTGTGCCATTCTAGTGCGGATAATGGTTATCTTTAATCTATATTGTATGAGACAGGTGTAATACATCATACCTGCCTTAAAGAGGCTCAAAGGTCTTATGAGGAAAAAAACACAACAACATAACAAATATGGTAAATATAATCATTGATCTGTTTAAAGGGAATTTTGCGAGCATAAAGCTGGTGTGTCCAACACAGATTTGGAGGAAGGAGAGGTCAAGAAAGGTTTTCTGCTACAGTAAATCCAAAATATATAAACTAGGTTACTCAGGTGAAAGGCAGCAGTCTAATTAGGTTAGGAGCAGGAAGTGGGAAAAGGAATCAGGGAGAAGATTCCATTCTGGAGAACAGCAAGGGCAATACAGAAAGAAGAAAGCACAGTGCATAGAAAAAAATAATTCAATGTTGTTGCAACCTAAAATATGAGGTAGAAAAGATGAAGGAGAGACAACAGGTGCAAAAGAAGCAGAGCCCTGCGTGACTGGCTCAGCAGCTAAAAGCAATGGAGTTTACAATTCAGTTAATATCTTCTGGATGATGAGAGAAAAAAATAGATTAATAAACTGACAGACCTTTATAGATTAAGCAGGACTTTGACACAGATTTGTTTACAAAGATCATGTGGAGGAAGAGAGTGAACAGTGTCGTGAATAGGTACGTGCACACTGGACTAGAGGCCACACACCAATTAGAAGCCCACCATATTGCAGGTGAAAGATGGTAAGAGCTAACAAAGCAAAACAGTAGGGATGTAGAAGAGAGTACAGACTTGAGAAATAATTAGGGAGTAAAAGCTTCAAGAATTACTGATGAATGTAATAAGAGAAAATTCAGGGAAGATGCTGAATTCAGTTTCAGGCCTCTGAATTTGAACTGCTTATGGAACTTGTAGGAAAAGCTACTTGGCAGAGAAGTCAGAGGTGAGGGTAACTAAAAAGAGGTCTAAGCTATTAACTTATATTTGACAACATGTAGGTAGAAATTAAAACAAAGCTAGTTGATGTGCTCACTTCCACAGTGTCTACAGAATTTTAAATTGACAAATTAGACCCTCCATGGTGGCGCAGCAGGTTAAAGCACTGCACTGAGAAGCTAAAGCCACTTCCGCATGAATTCGATTCCCGCCTGCCCCAGAGGTGACCACATGGCATGGCAGACCTCTCCTGACCTGTCCGCTGCTCCCCTCAGCAGTGTACTTCGTCAATCTGCCTGTTCTGCTCCCCACTCTGTCTCTGGTGAAGCCTCTCACCGCCCCTGAGCCTCTGGCCTGTACCCCAGTTCTGTATGTACAAATAAATAAATTTTTAAAAAAATTTGACAAATTAAAGTCACAAGCCTTGGAAACATCTGATACTTCAGAAGAGGAGAAAAAAAGACCATCCACACAGGAGAAATGACTGTCAAGAGAGGAACATAGGGCTCCATAGATAACTGTACTTTGTCTTGTTTGTTTCTGTATCACAATAAGTATCTGTTGAATAAATCAGTTGAGTATCCTATCCTAGAAAACAAAGGAGTACAGAGGAGGTATCATCAAGTTTCAAAAGGAGAAAAGGGATCCAGTAATGACTGAAACTTACCTATCTGGCGTGATAATTAGTCTCTGGTAGTCTGAGGGTAAAGTTTCAAGGAATCGTAGGTCTGAAGTCTAGACTGCAAAAGGTAATTAAAGAAATAAAGCTAAAATTTTTGTTACTATTTAAAAGTCTGACCAAAAAAGGGAAGAGAATTACTGGATGACAGCCAAAGCCAAGAAGGAAAACCAAGAACTTTTTCTTTCTTGGGGGTGTGAGGAAAAGAATTCAGAATAAAGGGATCGGGGGGGGGGTTGGAAGGGGGCAAAGGGTGTCTAGAAATCTGAGAAACCTGACCTTGCACATAACTGGGACACAGAAAGGCAGGGATGACAAATGAAACAAGGAGAAAGCTTTAAAAAATGGGAAACAAAGATAAGGGGATTCACTTTGATCAAAAAAGACAGTTCAGGATGAAAAACAGATATGCAAATCTAGGTAACTTTATTAAGGAAAGTAGAAGCAGAAATTTGAGAATGCACATCGTTTCCCGTGAAATAGTAAATACAGAATGAGATGAATGGGAACTTAATGAAAAACTTAAACTCCATAAAGATCAGTGGATGGGCCCTCCCTGGTGGTGCAACAGGTTGAAGTTCAGCACTACAAAGCTAGCAGCAGCCAAATCAGCACCAGTTAGATCCACAGCCAGTGGGGTGACCCACATGGCAGAGAATGCCTATCCTGTCTCACCCACACACTGCTCTTCTCAGCAGTGTACTTCATCAGTCTGCCTGTTTTGCTCCCCGCTCTGTCTCTGGAACCTAACGCCAGTTATTTAATCTAAGCCTTTATTTCTTCCTCTGTAAAACGACACTACTTGTTCTACACTACAAGAGTTAAATGAGGAAGCATATAAATCTCAGTATCTGGCAACAATCAAGCATTCAAAACTACTATTGCTTGGGTTAATAGTACTGTTACGGCAGTTTTCCAGAGAAATCAGAGGGTACTCACAGAGATGGAGGAGAGAGAGATTTACTAGTCACATCAGCAGGCTCAGTGTGATCAGTCCCAAAAGGCTGAGCCCCAAATTACAGGAATGGTGAGGTCTTACAAAGTTTGTATGCGGAACCTTGTCATCCCATCCATCACCGCATAAGCATTCTTTATTGTTTGGAAGGGGGTCAAGGTAGCCATGGCTAGTACTGTGGGCCAGCAGCACAGTGCAGGAACTTTCTGCTCCAGCTACCAGCAGAATCCAAACAAACTCCCCCAAGCAGCAGGACTGGGAAAGCAGCAGAATCTAAGCAGACCTGAGAAACTTCTTCCTTCAGTAAGAAGGAAAGCAGGAGCTACGTACACGGAAAAAGAGATAATCTGACAGCACTACAGATCTAAACAGACTGCGTCGAGACCTGTACTCTGCCCATATTAACATTCTGTCTCTCGTGTTCTAATATCCCCCGATATAAGTCAAATTCCCAATAGGCTCCAAACCTGGACCACATTAATTCCAAATGGGAATTATACTCCTTTGTTGACCCACTGTCACTTATCTGTGTGAGAAAAGGCTTGCTTTTTATTAGTCTTCCTATAAAGCCTGTTGAGGGCACTGTGAAGGCTTCCTTCCAGGGGCGTTTCTGGAAGAACCACCCTTCCCAACAAGCTGAGCACCTTCCTTCGGCTGGGCAGTCCTGCTCTCTAATCTTTATTCTGCCCAATTTGCAACAACCTAAGGACAATGGGGGGTGGGAGGGGGCGACGAAAAACAACACAAAACGGGGCCAAGACTAAAGTGAATGCTGCCAGAAAAAGGGAAGCGAAAGGAAGTGATAAATCGATACTCCTAGAGCCCAAAGGCTAAGCAAGGCTAGCCGGGAATGAAGCACATCACTCTAAAGTAGTAGCGGACCCGGCCTACGGCTTTTAGCCCGCCAGCAGAAGCGGAAGCCTGACGACTACCTTACCTCCAGAAGGCGGAGACAGACAGTTCACTTTACTCTTCCATGCCCACCACTTCCGGCGCCAAGGAATGACATCCGACCCAGCTGGCGCGCGCCAGTGACGTCACCCATGACTCTCCGAAGATTGGCTGAGAGGTTCTAGGCCGGTGCCAATCGACCTTTCCAGTGGGATTTGGTCTAAGTATGGCTCCGGGCATTTATACCCGACTTTTGTCGTCTACCTGCTGGAATGTCGCTCCCGTCCCTGCCTCTCAGTCGGGAGAGCCTTTGGGCAGCTAGTTGTGGCCGTTTCTAGGTGGCGAAGCAGCATACTACCTTACAAAAGGCATCTTTTCTGCCATATACAGTACCTGTGGTAGCATTGCTTTCCCACCCCTTTTCTAGTCGGCCTTGGGCTTTCCTTTGTCTGGGTCAAAGAATTGAAGGGATTACTGAAGGAAACCTGTTAAGTATTTTGTTTTGTTATCCATAAAGAACTGGAGTATAGGCCAGAAGTGTGGTGCGTTAAGAGGATTCACCAGAGACAGTGGGGAGCAGAACAGGCAGATCAACGAAGCACACTGCTGAGGGGAGCAGCGGGGCGGATCTGGAGTGGTCTTGCCCGCCATGTGGTCACCTCCGGAATGGGCGGGGATCGAACTCAGCCTGAAGAGGCTTTAGCTTCTCAATGCTGTGCTTTAACCCGCTGCGCCACCAGGGAGGGCCTGTTTTGTTGTTGTTGTTTTTAGTGCTGTCTTCACTAAAAGACCTTTCTGGGGAGTAATCAGGCACGAGGCAGAATGCTGAGATTTTTGCTGATTTTTATTTTAATTTTAAAAATCGTAATTCCACGATATTCCCTAGGAGTCATGATTGCAGTTATTCAAGAGCATCTTGGCGGATATGAAAAATCCTATTTCATGATGAAGGCATAATTGACTATTTTTCTCCAACTCTACAGAAATTAAGTCTTAAGACTCACATTCCTGAGCAGGATGGAGTACTGTCATCTTTCACAGAAAAAAGCAAAATAACTATGATGAACACACCAACTAACAAACTAGAGAGTGGGTGGATCTTCAGGAAACAGAAGAGAGACTCGCCTTATCTGCAGAAAGGATGCAGGTTTAGGTGTAGTGCTAAGGAGTAAGTCTCAGCTCTGAAGCTATACAGGCAGGCAATGCAGCATGAGTTTGATCCCTGGCCAGGTAGCTAATCCACATGGAGCAGATCTCTCCTGTTTCACTTCTGTTGCCCTCAGCAATGTTATTTCAGTAGATCCCCCTATTCTGCTCCCCACTGTCTTTAGTGAATCCTCTTACCACCCCACCTCTGGCCTATATCCCAGGTCTTGTACACATAAATAAATAAAATAAATCTTAATATGCACATTTATGCTAGGGTCACACCAAGAAGTGAGGAACACAGGAAGCATCTCACTGGTTACTCAGAGCTTGTGGCTATGAAATGCTAACACTGCTCTAGGTAAAAAGAGACTACTGGCAGTCTGACTAGGTTTTATGTTCCCTCGGAATTAAAAATTTTTTAAATATTTATGCATACAGAACTGGGGTACAAGCCAGTGTTGTAGGGATGATGAGAAGCTTCACCAGAGACAAGAGCAGCGAGCATAAGAGGCAAATCAACAAAGTACACTGCTAAGAGGTGCAGCGGACAGGTCAGGAGAGGTCTGTCACGCCATGTGGGTGACCTCTGAGGCCCGGCTTTGAACTCGCACTGAAGCAGCTGCGGCTAGCTTGTAGTGCTGCGTCCTAACCTGTTGCAGCACCGGGAAAGACCAGGCATTAAATTTTTTTTTAGCACTCGTTCTACTTGATCTGCCTTAGTGAGTCTTGTATTCAAGACTGGATTTGACTATTCTAATTGGACTATTCATCAATTGTGCAAAACTGGGCAGTTTTTATACCCGGTCTATTAGGTCTAGTATACTGTTACAGGGTATTACTGGACAAAGTAGTGAAATAACATGGGCACAAATCATGATTAAGGGCACCTACAGGTACTTAAGACTTTCAGGAACTCAGAACCAAAGATTGATCACAAGCAGAAATAGAGAAATTAAGAGATTAGTCTGTGGTACCACCTAGGGTAGTAGACCTCAAAGTGCAATCCTTGGATCAGTAGCCACTACAGGAATTTGTTTTAAATGCAAATTTATTGGACTTCAGCTGAGGCTTATTGATTCAGAAACTGAGGAGTGCCAGGAAATTTGTTTAAAGGAGCCATCCAGGTTATTCTGATAAATGTTCGATTCGAGACTCACTGATAAAGGCTTAAAACGGTTCATTGTAATATACATTCTGTACCGTGAGTTCCCACTCAGGGCTTATTTGGGGGTTTTATTTTTTCAGCTAAAAATTTACTTTTTAATTATCACAAAATATACTTAACTCACCATCTTAGGGGTGCAGGGGTTAGATAGTGCTATCAAGCTATCATAGCCAGCCACTGCAGCATGAGTTAGATCCACAGCCTGCCAGGGAGCTAACCCACATGGCAAGCAGATCTCTCCTGACCCGCCCGCTGCTCCCCTCAGCAGTGCACTTCATTGATCTGCCTGTTCTGCTCCCCACGCTGTCTCTGGTGAATCCTCTCACCTCCTCACCTGTACCACAGTTCTTGTATGCATAAATAAATAAATAAATCTTTTTTTAAAAATTCTTTTAACTATGAAGTTCAGTAGTGTTGGACACATTCACATTGTAGTGAACCCTATCTGCAGTTGTTTTTAATCCTGCAAAACTATTAAATAACTTTCATTTCTCCCTCCACTAGCTCCTCCTATTCTACTTCCTGCTTTCATAAATTTGATATTCTAGATACCTCGTGTAAATAGAAATATATACCTATTTCTGTCTTTTTATGACTGGTTCATTTCACTTAGCATGAAATTGTTAGTCACTATAACATCAAAACTACTTTTTTAAGAGTAAATGAGACTCGATTGCATGAACACATTATGCTTTATGTATCTATCAATGGATTTTTTTTGTTGTTTCCACATTTTGGTTATTATGAATAATGCACAAATGTACAGATATCTCTTTGAGATCCTGCCCTCAATTATTTTGTTTCTATACAAAAAAAGTGTAATTGCTATCATAATTCCACTTTTAATACTTAAGGAACCACCTACTATTGTTCACAGAACTGCACCACTTTACATTTTATATTGCACCAACATTACACAAGGATTCCAACTTCTCTACATCCTCACCAAAATTTGTTTTTTGTTTTTTAAATAATTATCCCAATGGGTATAGGTGCTTTCTCACTGTGCCTTTGATTGGCATTTCTGGTTAGTGATGTTGAGCACCTTTTTTTAGATTTTTTAAAAATTATTTTTGTGTAGAAAAACTGGGCTGTAGCTCAGAGGTGTAGGGAGGTAAGAAGGTTCACCAGAGACAGAGTGGGGAGCAGAACAGGCAGATCAACGAAGTACACTGCTGAGGGGAGCAGCGGGTAAGACAGGAGCAGTCTTCTGTGCTATGTGAGCCAGCTCCCTGGCCAGAGATCAAACTCATGTTGCAGTTGCTAGTGATAGCTTTACAGCACTAAGACATTAGCCCCTGTGCCACTAGGGAGGCCCATGTGTTGAGCACTTTTTTTTTTAAGATTGATTTATTTATGCACACAGAACTAGGGTACAAGTCAGAGGTGCAGGTGCAGTGAGAGGATTCACCAGAAAGAGTGGGGAGCAGGACAGGCAGACTGATTAAGTACATTGCTGAGGGGAGCAGTGGGCGGGCCAGGAGAGGTCTGCCGCACCATGTGGGTCACCTCCGGCACCAGGGATCAAACTTGCACTGAAGCAACTGCAGCTGGCTTGCAGTGCTGCGACCTTACCCATTACGCCAACAGGGAGGGCCATGTGTTGAGCACTTTTTAATGTTTGTTGGCCACTTGCTTAGCAGGAGAAAATGTCTATTGAGTTCTCTGCCAACTGCTAAATTAGGGTATTTTGTTGCTGCATTGTAAGTTCTTTTTATACCCAAGACATTAGCCCCTTATCAGATACATGATATACAAATATTTTCCCATTTTGTAGGTTGCCGTTTCCATTTGTCAATTGTGCCCTAAGATGCACAGAACTTATTTTTTCTTAAGATTTATTTATTTATTTATACACATAAGAACTTGGGTACAGGCCAGAGGTGCGGAGGCAGGGGGATGCTTCACCAGAGACAGAGTGGGGAAAAGAACAAGCTGAGGGGGTCAGCAGGCAGGTCAGGAGAGGTTTGCTACACCATGTGGGTCACCTTCCTAGCCAGGAATCCATGCTGCAGTGACGGAGTAGCTTCATAGTGCTGCACTTTAACCCCTGTGCCACCAGGGAGAGCCTGCAGTTTTTAATCATGATGTAGTCCACTTTACCTATTTTTGCTGCTTGTGTTTTGGTGTTATAGCCAAGATATCACTGGATGTTTTCCCCTTATTTTTTAGTTTTAAGTCTTAAATTAGGTTTTGATCCCTTTTATGTTGTATATTATATAAGGTAAAAATTTAACTTCATTCCTTTTTCATGAGACTATCCAGTCTTGCCAACACCATATGTTGAAAACACCATCTCTTCCCCTACTGAGTGATCTTGGAAACCTTGTTGTAAATCATTTTCTAACAGGGTACTCCCCAGGGATCCAGGATCCCTGCCTCAACCAAAGGATGGAGCTAGCAAGGAGGGAAAGCTAGAAAAGACTGGAGAGAAGAAAGGAAAGAGATCAAGAAAAGGACTAGAGAAGTCACATGCAGCAGACATGTGAATAAGCCATGCTTGCTTGTTGGCCCTTGACTTGTACCAGGGACTTGGGGATACAAAAGGAGACACTTGAAAGAGACACAGGGGGCCTACCTGGTGACACAAGAGGTTAAGTCTCAGCACTAAGAAGCTATGGCCTGCCACTGCAGCATGAGTTTGATCCCCAGCCAAGGAGCTTACCCACATGGCGTAGCAGACCTCTCCTGTTTCACCCGCTACTCCCCTCAGCAGTGTATTTCAGTAGATCTGCCAGTTCTGCTCCCCACTCTGCCTCTGGTAAATCTTCTCACCCCCATACCA